ATAATAATAGTTTTGGTATTAATTGCAACTTTTAATTTTTTGTCTTAAAAAAAAAAAATTATAGGTCGTCATACGCTATTTTAAAATATTGGGCATTCCTTGTATGTGTTCCCATTGATTTTGGTGATCGTTTGAAATAAGTTCATCTAACGCCATTTACTATTTGTACGAATCACACTTGTAGAGTGAGATGTGCTTCTACCGATTATTAGCACTGAGGTTGAGGTAGAATATGTAACTATATCAGCCAACAAGGAAGCACTTAAATATTTACCAGAAATAGCTTACTGAATAGGTGTTTTTTTTAATCTAACTCTCAATCGTGTTTCTTCAGGATGTGAACACAATGACTCCTCACACCCACCTGTACCCTGCAGTCCTTAGTAATATGTTTTTTGTTTTTTTACCATCCGTTTAGATCCCCGTTCTGTCATCCATTCATATAAGCTCATCAGGTAGACGTTTTACTTATCCCTATACTGTTTTTCTTGGATATATTCAGTGAGTGTCAAATTTACTAAGCCCACTCTCCTCTCTATGTGTCCAAGACATGTCAGCTGTCGCTTTCTGGTTAAGATTATAAGCGTCCTTTTTGTTTTCATTTTATCTAAGTCTTCGTCTTTGCTCACGTGTTCGGTCCATGGTATTCTCAGAATCCTTTTTTAGAACCACATTTCTTCGGCCGTTGTACGCTTCGTCCTTCTTCAGGTGGTTGGAAGGTCGAACTTAACCCTTCTCTTCATTTGTCAGGAAATTGTTCAGCATTCATTAGTGAATTAAATAACAGATCTTATATAGTTCTGTCCATTTGTTTTTGTTTCGAATAAAATTTTATTTTGACTTACTACTTTGACTATTTTTGGAAGGCTATTGACCTCATCTTTGTCGCCATATCTATTACAACGTTTCGGCCGTTGTACGCTTCAGCCTTCTTAAGGTGGTTAGAATGTCGAACTCAACCCTTTATTTCGCTCGCTTGGGTAGACTGTTCCAGTTCCACGTTTGATGGATGCCACTTATCAGTTATCTCCTGTTAATTTCCCTCTCCAAGTTCTCCACTGCCTTAACCGGGTATTGAACTCACAGTCTTTGGGTCCCGTCACTGGATGTAACTAACGCCTTTATCCATTGTGCCATGTGTCCTTCCAAATATATATATATATATATATATATCGTGAGAGAGATAAATAGAGATAGATAGATAACTTGAAAAGACTATAACAAAATGTAGTTGCCAAACTCTATTATACTTAATCTAGACAAATGTCCTTGGAAAAGGCATGAATCCATATCTCCATCTACCAGGAAAATGTCGTCTTCCCAATTTCACCCTAATTGATAAAGTAATAAGGGCTTTTCCCTTTCCGCAATATCTGCCTGGAAAAGTCAAATTTTCGCTTCCCTAGCCTTGACAGCGAAATGACATTTTCCGCCCTACAACTGCCTTCCTGCAGCCGCAATATCTCGCAAGCCTATCGTTACTTTATCGCTACGTCCAAGGCAAATGATCGGACGAGTTCTATTCTTAGTGACACCAACTCAGACCTCTGCGACCAAAATACGTGTTGCCACGTCCACATGGTTAAATCATCCCCATTCCCTCCGTATTCCTTTGATAAAAAGGGCTTTCCACTCATAAAGCCCTTTCTTCCCATAGACCATTACTTTGTGGAAAACACACCCGCGTGGATGCTTTCCCGAACATTACAATTTTAAACTCTTCACGTCTAGGATCAATTTCTCGACTATATCGTCGTAATATTCACTTCCTATTTTCTCCTCTTAGTTTCAAATCATGAATATGATTTAGTAACAATCTACCTTGGGTGGCTCTTGAGGCTTATATTAGGTAGACCTTAGTAAAACAAAATGGTTTTGGAGAGCCAATTCAAAAATCCCACACCAAAGAATCGTACACACTCAGATACACTTATGTTGTTTCGTGTGGAAGAATGGACTTTTTACGTACAGCTTGCATTGCCTCAATACATAAGGATATCTTATAACCTGCATTGACAGGTTCGGACAAGAATTTCTGAGAGTCAATTATTACCAGAACATCTGTATCAGACATTAGACTAACAGGAAAGACGCTGGAAATCAAAGGTTATTAATTCCGCCATTTTTATTTCCATTTTTTCAGGCTTTAAATTGATTTTCGCCGTTCTGACTTTTGCAAGTCACTTGGCGACAGGTTGAAAAATTAAAGTTTTCAGCTTGAAGATGTCACCGAGAAACTCTTGCATGTCTAATCTACGGGCAACGTTTGTCGCATGGTCATTGATTTTTATACATCTTCAACTTATTCTTATCAAATGAAAGGTAAGCGACTTATTCGGATCCATATGGCATTGTTCTCTTTCTCTCTTTATATATATATATATATATATATATATATATATATATATAAGAGTTGTCCTTCTCCTAGACAAGTTGCCATCCAAGGCTATAGAACCCAGTCTGTCCTGCTATTTACCCATAGCTGGAGGGAGAAGAAGAGGATTCATACCTTTCCCAAGGGTATTAGCATGTAAGTGAATGTAATGGATTCGACTGGAATTCCTCAATCCAAGCCGATATCGAATACTCCTCTATATTTAAAACCTGCGGAGAGTCGTTTGGGGACCTTGTGACACGTAGTGCACCAGGTCTCTGTATTCGGCCCATCAAAAAGTGTGGATGGTCCTGCACGAAACTTTCACCACTATAATCAATTCTCATGTGCTGTTGTCGAGGTTTTCTGGGAACTGATCTGCTTGAAACTCGTACGTCGGATTCGACGGAAGAGTCGACGAGCGAGCAATATATATATATATATATATATATATATATATATATATATATATATATATATTCGTCCTGGGTAAGATGTTAAACTACATCCACGTTCTGGGTAAGACGATAAACTGTCCAGCAGCAATGCCTCTCATCAGGAGGTTTTGAGGAGCGTGGAACCACCTCTTAATTGCTGGTGTTCCCAGGTCCACTCTGACCCGGGGTGGTAGTACCTGTTAGGGTCCCAGCTATGGGAAAATAGTTGCCTATTACCAGCAATACTTTTTGGAAAAAATTTTTTTACCAGCAATACAATTTTGAAGGAAAAATATTACCAGAAACAGTCAAAACCTGGGTAGCGTGGTTGCTTGAATTCTGGTGTTCTTTCTCTATTGGTCGATCGATTGATATATTTTTCTTTGTATCTATTTATCTATTTACGACTGTGGTATCTATCTATCTATCTATCTATCTATCTATCTATCTATCTATCTATGTCAGTTTGTTCCTTTCTAGCTCGTTATCTATTTATCGATCGATTGATTCTTCGTATGTATTTATATAAGTCTGTGGCATCTATCCATCTATCGACCGATATATATATATATATATATATATATATATATATATATATTATATATTATATATTTGTCGTCTCAGAAATATTGAACCCCTGTAAAATCTGTAAGTAGGCTACATTCTCTATATCCCTTTCTCGTTTCGTTTCTTTCTTCCTCTCTGCTTGGTCTGTGTTTTTACTTCTATGAGTCTCATAGTACCCACCTCCTCCGCAAGTCGACTAGCAACTGACCATTGAGTACGTAGCTGTGACCCTTCACCCGTGCAATATATCACCGTGTGTGCTTTTCATTATATTCAAAACATTTTCATTTACCTTGTCAAATTAATTGCATGCACTCATTAGTGAAAATTACTTACTTCAATACCTGATGATTGCGTCTAGCATAAAACAGCCTGTCGTCTCTATGTGTTGACTTCTATGTTCACTTTTATATTTACACACGCTCTATCTTTGATATTGAGCACTTTATCCTATAAATATAGCACATGTTAAGATTATATTTCTTTATATTTATATATATATATATATATATATATATATATATAGATAGATAGATAGATACGAAGAGTATTCGATAAATAGAATAGCTTTAGATATATCGATTGATCAATAGATAGATAGATACGAAGAGTATTCGATAAATAGAATAGCTTTAAATATATCGATTGATCAATAGATAGATAGATACGAAGAGTATTCGATAAATAGAATAGCTTTAGATATATCGATTGATCAATAGATAAATAGATAGATAGATTGCTAGATGGATGGATAGATTGATAGATGAATAGATGGCACAGTCTTAGATAAATAGATACGAGTAATCTTAGATCAATTGATCGATCAATAGATAGAGGGGTAGAAGTGTACAGAGATAGATAGATAGATAGTGTGTAAAGTTTACAGAAATCTTCTATGTCACCGTAATCTCAGAACTGTTCAACCTGCCCCAGGTATTCTTTTACATGCTATGTAATGCGTTTTTCATTCATCTTTTGTCTTCCCTGTTGTTTTTTTTACTTATGATCTCCAGTGTGGACAGGGAGATATCGGAAGATCTGTGCGTACAAAGGTGATTGGCTATTGAGTTCTCTGAATCAACAGCAAACAATTCACAGTATGTGGTAGTGGATTAGGAACTAAATATGGACCTGTCCTTAGAAGAAAAGCAAGAAAAAAACGGGTAGAAGAAACAATAGATAAAGGACTATGATATGGATAGAAATGTTAAAAAAATGGAGAGTAAGGAGGAGATCGATAAAAGGAAAAGGAATATAGAGAAGAAGCAGAGAAAGTAGGAGGAAAGAGAGTAAGAAAAACGAGAAAGAAGAGTAAAATCGAGAAGAGAAAAAGGAGTAGTAGTCGTGGTGGTAGAAGAAGAAGAAGGAGGAGGAGGAGAAGGAGGAGGAGAATGGAATAAAAATTTGAATGGAGTGAAAAAGAAGAAAGAAAACGTGTGGAGGGAAAGAAAATAAAGTATAAAAAAAAAATCAACAGAAAGACGAGAGACATAAAAAGTGGAAAATAACGAAGATATAAAATGGAATTGAGGAAGAGGAAGGCAAAAGTAATGTAGATTGCAGTTAGAGGAGGGGGAATGAAAGAAGACAGAGAAATATACCGGAAAAGAAAGGGAAGAAGGTTAGGAAGGCAAAAAGAAAGAAAGACAGATTAAAAGAAACAATGACAGATGGAAAGAAAAAGGAGAAAAATAAAAAGGAGAAAGAAAAAAATGGAAAGAAAGACAAGAAGTTAAAAAGGGAAAGAAAGGAGGAAGAAGAAAATTAATGAAATATATCGATAAAACTGAGAAGAAAAGAAAGAAGAGAAAAATGTCATGAATAGTTACTTAGAAAGAAAGAAAGAAAGGAAGAAGAGAAAAACTGGTATGAAGAGTTATTTAGAAAGAAAGAAAGAAGAGAAAAACTAGTATGAAGAGATATTTAGAAACAAAGAAAGAAGAGAAAAACTGGTATGAAGAGTTATTTAGAAAGAAACAAAGAAAGAAGAGAAAAACTGGTATGAAGAGTTATTTAGAAAGAAAGAAAGGAAGAAGAGAAAAACTGGTATGAAGAGTTATTTAGAAAGAAAGAAAGAAGAGAAAAACTGGTATGAAGAGTTATTTAGAAAGAAAGAAGAGAAAAACTGGTATGAAGAGTTATTTAAAAGAAAGAAAGAAAGAAGAGAAAAACTGGTATGAAGAGTTATTTAAAAAAAGAAGAGAAAAACTGGTATGAAGAGTTATTTAGAAAGAAAGAAAGAAAGAAGAGAAAACTGGTATGAAGAGTTATTTAGAAAAAACAAAGAAAGAAGAGAAAAACTGGTATGAAGTATTTAGAAAAAGAAGAGAAAAACTAGTATAAAAAGAGTTATTTAGAAAGAAAGAAGAGAAAAAACTGGTATGAAGAGTTATTTAGAAAGAAAGAAAGGAAGAAGAGAAAAACTGGTATGAAGAGTTATTTAGAAAGAAAAAAAGAAAAACTGGTATGAAGAGTTATTTAGAAAGAAAGAATGGAAGAAGAGAAAAACTGGTATGAAGAGTTATTTAGAAAGAAAGAAAGGAAGAAGAGAAAAACTGGTATGAAGAGTTATTTAGAAAGAAAGAAAGAAGAGAAAAACTAGTATGAAGAGTTATTTAGAAAGAAAGAAGAGAAAAACTGGTATGAAGAGTTATTTAAAAAGAAACAAAGAAAGAAGAGAAAAACTGGTATGAAGAGTTATTTAGAAAGAAAGAAGAGAAAAACTGGTATGAAGAGTTATTTAGAAAGAAAGAAAGGAAGAAGAGAAAAACTGGTATGAAGAGTTATTTAGAAAGAAACAAAGAAAGAAGAGAAAAACTGGTACGAAGAGTTATTTAGAAAGAAAGAAGAGAAAAACTGGTATGAAGAGTTATTTAGAAAGAAAGAAAGAAGAGAAAAACTGGTATGAAGAGTTATTTAGAAAGAAAGAAAGGAAGAAGAGAAAAACTGGTATGAAGAGTTATTTAGAAAGAAAGAAAGGAAGAAGAGAAAAACTGGTATGAAGAGTTATTTAGAAAGAAAGAAAGGAAGAAGAGAAAAACTGGTATGAAGAGTTATTTAGAAAGAAACAAAGAAAGAAGAGAAAAACTGGTATGAAGAGTTATTTAGAAAGAAAGAAGAGAAAAACTGGTATGAAGAGTTATTTAGAAAGAAAGAAAGAAAGAAGAGAAAAACTGGTATGAAGAGTTATTTAGAAAAAAACAAAGAAAGAAGAGAAAAACTGGTATGAAGAGTTATTTAGAAAGAAAAAAGGAAGAAGAGAAAAACTGGTATGAAGAGTTATTTAGAAAGAAAGAAAGTATGAAGAGAAAAACTGGTATGAAGAGTTATTTAGAAAGAAAGAAGAGAAAAACTGGTATGAAGAGTTATTTAGAAAGAAAGAAAGAAAGAAAGAAGAGAAAAACTGGTATGAAGAGTTATTTAGAAAGAAAGAAAGAGAAAAACTGGCATGTAGAGTTATTTAGAAAGAAAGAAAGAAAAACAAACAAACATACAAAGAAAGAAGAGAAAAACTGGTATGAAGAGTTACATAGAAAGAAAGAAAGAAAGAAAGAAAGAAGAGAAAAACTGGCATGAAGAATTATAAAGAAAGAAAGGAAGGAAGGAAGAAAGAATATTGTGAAAAGTGAAAAAACAGGAAAAAGACAGGAAAATGTAAGGATAAAGAATTAGAAAAAAAAAGGACAACCTCAGCAATAGAAAAAGCGAAACAAAAAGAAGTGTTAGAAAAATGTCCGTCTTTTTCTTCTCAAAGGCGACAAGGAAAGACAGGAAGAATCCAATCGATAAATAAAGAAATAAGAAAACTCATGAAAAACACTTCTCTATAAACATGATAAAAAAAAAACAAATTGCACCCTAAAGAAAATGCAGAAATTATTCATATAAGCAAGATGAGCGAATGTCAGAGCAACAAAAGCATTTCTGCGTGTAATACAGTAACATTTCCTAGTGATATAGCGCTGCTCACCTCCCCGCTATCTATCTATCTATCTCTATCTCTCTCTCTCTATATATATATATATATATATATATATATATATATATATATAGAAATAGAAGTGAAATATGAATATATATATATATATATATATATATATATATATATATATATATATATCAGTCTCTCCACTTCTATTTCTTTCTCTATCGATAAATCGATTGATATAAGATTCTTCGTATCTATTTATCTATTTAAGACTGCCATCTATATCACTAGGTTTTGTACGTTTGAGCCAGGAGCCCTTTTCTGTTGCCGTTAATGGTTGCCCAGTTCACAAAATGTCGAGTGTCAGAATTTGTTGCATGTCCAACAAAAACATGAATGATTCCTTTTCCTTATTTGTTTAAAGGTTTTTGCCCTCACATTTTCTCATTCTTGTAATCTTTACTTTTTCATTAATCTCAAAATATTTGCTATTTCGTCACCCTTTTATTCACCAAGGCATTCATTCTTTCTTTTCTAATAGGTAACTTTCCATGCGAGATTCTTTCTTTCTTTTTTTCTTGTTATTTATTTATTTTTTCTTTCATTCTTTCTTTCTTTTTTTTTTTTTAGTTTGTCCCTTCGTTTTTCTTCTCTTTTCATTCTTATTTAAGTTCGTTTTTGTTTTGTTTTTCATTTTGTCTATTCGTTCGTTTTTTGTTTTTCTTCCCTTCTTTAATCCGTTTGCTTTTTCTTTCTTTCTGTTTTTCCTTTATTTTTTGCTTTCATTCTTTACACCTTCTGGAAACGCTATATTTTCTTACAGACTTTTAGTCAGGAAAGGAGGAATTCCGTTTTATTCGCATGGATTTTATCAATGAAGCAAGGCCATTCACATTCTCGCTTGTTGTTTGAAGTTTACAAACTTCTTCGTGCAGAATAGTCGTTATAAAGTTTGTATAGACGCACGTCCTTGGGTGAGTAACAGGGCAAAGGCTAGCTGGCATTGATAATGGCGAAGGAAGAAAAAAAAAAGAAAGAGCAAAAACTATCATGGAAAAAAAGAAAGGAGAAAGAAGAAAATTAATGAAAAATATCGATAAAAACTGAAAATAAAAAATAAAGAAGAGAAAAAACAGTTATAGAGAGTTACTTAGAAATAAAGAAAGAAAGAAGAGAAAAACTGGCATGAAGAGTTATTTATGAAGAAAGGAAAGAAAGAAAGAAAAAAGAAAGAAAGAAGAGAAAAAGACGCGTGTAGAGTTATTTATAAAGAAAGAAAGAAAGAAGAGAACAACTGGCATGTAGAGTTATTTATTAAGAAAGAAAGAAGAAAGAAAGAAAGAAAGAAAGAAGAGAAAAAGACGCGTATAGAGTTATTTATAAAAAAGAAAGAAAGAAAGAAAGAAGAGAACAACTGGCATGAAGAGTTATTTATAAAGAAAGAAAGAAGAAAGAAAGAAAGAAGAGAAAAAGACGCGTGTAGAGTTATTTATAAAAAAGAAAGAAAAAGAAAGAAAGAGAGAAAAACTGGCATGAAAAGTGACTTATAAATATAGAAAGAAAAAAGAAAGGCTGATAAAAGGGAGAAAAACAAGTTAAAAAATAGCACGAATCTTTACTTATAATCACAGAAAGAAAGAAAGAAAAAGAGAAAGGATTAATAAAGTAATTAAAGAGAGAGAGGGGAGGGGGAGGGGAGAGGGGGGAAATTAAGAATAACGAAACAATGAAAAACAGCAAACTAACGACAGAATAACTTCGAGAAGTTAACAAAGTAAAATGAGTCAATACGAACCAAATTAAATACCAATTTTTAAACTTAAAATATTCCTCAGCACGCAGAAACTGTGATCATTGTGTTTTCGGTGAATAATTCTAATAACATTCGCACGGAGACCTATCATAGACAGAATAGATGAAGGTATATGCACAAGAAACCAATGTATATGGATTTTTAGAGCAAAGAATAGATAATGCAAAAACAAAAATATTATTAGATAATGTGGCTGTGCAAGTTGTATGTTTCACACTGCTACCAAAGGCCAGTGTTTGCGGTTAAGTATAAAACAATATTTAATTTGTTCATTTTCAATAAGGATACAATGCAACTATCCCAGCTACATGCAACAAGGTGCCAATTTTTATCTATAAAGGGTCTTCCAACAACACAATCTTCCAAGCTTTAATAGTGTACCAGAATACTTATATGAAATAATCATTTTCTATCTATGTATCCCTCCTCTCTCTCTCTCTCTCTATATATATATATATATATATATATATATATATATATATATATATATATATATATAACAGATAACAAGCCTACCGAAAAACAGTAAATATTGCTTTATATATGTAATTGTATAATAAATAATTCTACCTTGTCTACGTAGGATTCAGTTGATAATGTCTATGAGAGAGAGAGAGAGAGTGTGTGTGTGTGTGTGTGTGTGTGTGTCGTAGACATTATGTTCTTTCGCATGTTGTTTTCGGAATCTTTTTAGCTACATACCATTTGTTTTAGACATTACGTTAGATTCTTTAAGAAGAGTTTCAATAAACGCTGGTGATATAATATAATGTTTTTACGTGTATTTATAGTTGTTAATATTGTTATTAGTAGGCTCGTGAAGTACTTTCTTCGTAGATAATTATGTACTATTTTAATTAGGGTGGCAAGAGAAAAATCAAAGTTATGGCCATTTTTGTTCCTGTGTATTACAAGAGAGTTTCAATGATTGTCTAAACATAAATTTCTTTTATGTTCGTAGATACGGGCTTTTATATATCATGATAGAAGTCCAATATAATTGTTTTTACACTGTAAACAATTTATTTGATTAGTACCAACATCTGAATTGGTGCTAGATTTATTTTTATTTCTGGTTATATCTCCGACTGGCTTGGACGTCGTGATAAAGTTCCTAGCATTAGGGATAACGAATTTATTTACAAGTATAACAGAAAGAGACCTAGAGGGTAGAGGTGCACCAGGTCTCTGTAATCGGCCCTTCAAAAAGTGTGGATGGTCCTGCACGAAACCTTTACCATTATAATCAAATCTCATGTGCTATACATGCAAGTTGGGGACCGCTTGTGAATTCCAAATTCCCATGAAACTCCAATACTGGAGGCGGCTCAACCCACCCCGGGTGAATGCCGTTACAGGTATGTAGGTATGAGGAGAAGGATAGTGGATAGATCAAGGCAACTGGAGATGTCGATTGACATTACATTTGAATAGTTAGAGATTATAGCTCTCAGGGAAACTGGAATAGGGAAGGGAGTTCCACAGGCGAGAGGTGCGAGACATGAAACTATTGGAGTAGAAGAGACGGCTACATTTAGTAGTTTCGACAGTGAAAGGGTGAGAGTGGGATGCCAGCCTCGTAGGGTGCGTGAATTCATGAAGTCTGGGAACCAGCGAATGCAGCTCCTCGGGGCAATTACCATGAAAGTATTTGTAAAAAGACAGAGAGAGGCGACGGCACGTCTGTGAGAAAGTGACTGTAGACGAGATGCCAGAACAGGGCCAATTATATTGCATATCCGCCTCTGGAGCTTATCAAGGACCCCGAGGTAAACAGAAGTGGCTCCAGACCATATATGGTAGCAATACTCCATGCATGGGCGAATTGTTGATTTGTAGATCTGGAGGATCGATTCTGGGGAGAAAAATTTCCTGGCGCGGCACAGGGAGCCAACTTTCCTTGCGGTGGACGAAGCAATTGACTCAATGTATTTGTTCCATCTCAGGTCAGCCGTCAACGTGAGACCGAGCAGCCGCAGAGAGTTGCTCTCGAGAAGTTGAGCGTCAGATGTTCTAATGGAGGGAAGGGGAGGATCTCTGTGGTGATTAATAGAGAGCAGTTTTGTTTTTGTAAATAGATTTTCGTAAATTATGCTATCGTTGTTTTAAAAAGTCAAATACACATGAAACCTGATTAACCAACGAGCATCAAACAACACAAAAGTAAATCTGCAATATCTCATTCTCTGATGAAGGTTAATAAAAAAGAAACATATTAGATTGATAAAAGTTTCCTATTTGTTCTTTATTTTATCATTCTGTCGAATTCTAATTTATGTTTAATCTATATTTGATCCCCCAACATATATATATATATATATATATATATATATATATATATATATGAGTTTGTAAACAGTGATTATTACTGTTAACAATGCAAGTTTCTTCGGTAAAAAGAATAGAGTTCTCTCAATCACTGTGTGTTTATCTAAAAATAAATACGTTTAAATTCACCTTCATCCCTGCCGTGCGCCAACGGCTTAGGGGTAGAATCTCCGACTGATGCCAATCCAGCCGAGTTTCAAACCTAACTAGAGGCAACCGGACGACTAGCCACACTGATGAACTGTTATACAGCGAAACTCTCTGTGGATGACTATATATATATATATATATATATATATATATATATATATATATATATATATATCATAAAATTCAACTGACTAATACGATACAGAAATTGTAAATTTATTTATTTTTTAAAAAATGTGTTTGGGTATATTGTCTGGCCATTTTCGTTAAGGTTCATTTTTTTTCTCTATATTTTTAACCCTTTTTTTTGATAATAGATCTGCCAAGAAAAGTGAACCTGGACGTGAATTAACTGTGGATGATCAAGCGATTAAAGAACTTTCTGTACATGTCCCTCTTAGTAAATTGCTTTCTCTTTTAATTAAACTAGCATTTTTTAAACAGACTTATGGTCACACCCATCACGGTGAGCAACTAATGAACTGAAACTGTTGTTTTTGTAAAAGACACACTCAATGCATTAGTTGCTTACCGTAATGTGCCTGTATGTGTGTGTATGAGGGTTTCGTTTAAAGTTTGCGGTTCGACGAAAGACCTTTCCCCCGCTAAAATCTGTTTTCTGGCCATTGGGTCAAATATTTAAAAAATGCCACTATGTAGCGGAATTTTCTGATCCAGTGACGCATTAGGTAGTTTAATTAAAAAAGCTCATAATTGTTCAACTGTGAATAGATTTTTATTTCTTTAGCTTAATATTCGGGAGGAGACATGAAAGGCAAACAAAAACGCGGGACAATAAAGTGTTTCTTATTTGTAAAATAACTTGAACATTTCTACTATCTGACTGTATCTCTGAGATGAGGTATTATGATTACATTATTCGGGTTGATATCCTCCTCTCCATTACCATATTCACAACGTTTCGGCTGTTGTACGTTCCGGCCTTCTTCAGGTGATTTTCATTTCAAACTGAACCCTTTATATCTGTCTATATCTCTGAGATGTATTATGATTACTTGCATTATTTACATTATTCGGGCTGTTATCCTCATCTCATTGCCATATTCACAACGTTTCAGCTGTTGTACGCTCCGGCCATCGTCAGGTGATTAGAATTTCAAACTGAAAACTTTATATCTATATCTCTGAGATGAGGTATTATGATTACTTGCATTATTTACATTGTTCGGGCTGTTATCCTCATCTTCATTGCCGTATTCACAAAGTTTTGGCCGTTGCGCGATGCGGCCTTCTTTATGTGATTGGAATTTCGAACGAACGAAACCCTTTATTTCGTCCACCGGGGTAAACTGTTCTAGTTCCATTTGCCACTGTATCTAACCAACATCATTATCCACTGGGCCTTGAGTGGATAAAGACGTTGGTTAGATCCAATGGCTAGACCCAACGAGTTGTGAGTTCAATACCAGACCACAGCAGTGGTGAGTCAAAAAAGTGGTGAGTTGAATTAAAGGGAAATACCTGGAATATCCGGAAGAGGCATGGCACATGGAACTAGAACAATCCACTCCGGTGGACGAGATAAAGTGTTCGGTTCGAAATTCCAATCTCCTGAAGAAGGCCGGAGCGTACAACGACCGAAACGTTGTGAATATGGCAGTGAAGATGAGGATAACAGTCCGAATAATATAAATAATGCAAGTTAAAAATTTTTGTCATTTGTTTGAAGTTATGGAAAAACTAATCACGTGATAAATTTTGAACAGACTCTTTTTAAATTTATAATGGTATTTTTGCGTTTATTTTTTTTTCGATCGGTAGATACATGGATTCATTTTGTAAGCATTTCTCCTCATTGCTGCAAGTTAATATTATATCTTTACAGGCTTCCCATATCAAACGAAGCGTAAATCTGATTAGCAGCGCATATCATTAACGTCTCAAGACGCACGTGAAATGATTCACAATCAACATTCGAATATTGTAACGGAAGGATAACAAAACAAATATTCGAAGAAAAAGTGATTTTGTGCAAATTTACTGAATATAATATTTCAATTTTTTGTTATACAGTGTAACCCGGATATAAGAGACCCGGATATAAGAAAAACCCGGATATAAGAGAGATTTTCACTGATCCCAAATTAGAGCCTGTGTTAATGTATATAAAATAGACCAAACCCGGATATAAGAGAAACCCGGATATAAAAGACTTCTCCGGTTCCGACAACTCTCTTATATCCGGGTTACACTTTATAAGTATTCTTCCTCCTTTTGTTGTCACGGTCATTATATTTTCAGCCTAACATACGCCATGTTGATAATTATATATTACTCCGAAATTTCCTGCTGTACGTTTTTCCTCTCTCTATCTACATGATACATCCCTTTATGTTAAGTGTAATATTAACCATAATCTATCTTGCCGAAGGCCTGCCTGTTCTTCCGGAAGTGTCTTTTCTAATTCCGTCTTTAGTCTTTCTAGGATAATTCTTGTCAGTACTTTCCCTGGGATGGACAGCAGCATGATGCTTCTCCAGTTGTTGCAAAACTACAGGTCCCCTTTCGTTGGCAGTTTCACAAGGTCTTCCACTCTTCAGGCACTCTTTCTTGCCCCCAGATCTTGTGCAGGAGTCGGTGCAGCATGTCACTTGAAGTGCCGAATCAATACTCTTTTGGTTTAAAAACGGTGGGTGCTATATATTTTAAAAGGCTTTTACTTGATACTGTCTTCGAGTGACCAGACAATGTATTATAGTTTGCAATCAGGAAACAATTATAGTTTAAAAACGGTGGCTGCAAAGATTTTTCAAAAGCTTTTACGTTATATTGTCTTCAATTGAACCGAAAAAGTACTTTAGTTCACAATCATGAAGCAATTATATATTTCGATGGCTTCAAGTTGATATTAAAATAATTTATATTTTATATTGCTTTTGATTTTCCAGCTTCTTCATGAAGTTCCACAGTAAACCAGTTCTCTTGCCTGTCTTGGCCTGCTGCATTATTCAGTCGACCACCAGAAAAATGATCGTCGACGACAGCAGAGATCCCTGACGAACTCCAGTGTGCACGGAGAATGGTTCCGTCGTGGATGACTTGACAGGTGGCATCCTCATACAGTTGTTGGATGATGTTGACCAACTTTGGTGGAAGACCGTAGTGATGCACCAGTCTCCAGATGACGTCTTTGTTGACATTATCAAAAACTTTCTGAAAGTCGACGAAGACTGAGTACACGGGGGTCTGCCAGGAAAGGTTTGATGTGGCGATGTGGTCTGTGCATGACCTATCTTACCGAAAGCCTGCCTGTTCTTCCCAAAGTGTCTTGTCCAATGCTATCTTCAGTCTTTGTAGGATAATTCTTGTCAGTACTTTCCCTGGGATGTTAGAGGGTTTACAGGTGCACTTTTTTCGGCAGCTTCAAATCTTCCATTCTTCAGACACTCTTTCTTGCTCCCAGATCTTGTGCAGAAGTGGATGCAGCATGCCAGTTGAAGTCTGGATGCCTGTCTTCAGTGCTTCAGGTGGTATACCGTCAGGTCCCACAGCTTTGAAACTTGATGGTCTTGCTAATCTCATTCTTGGTAAGTGGAGCAAGTTTTAATTTCGAGGAATTTTGGTAGGTGATGAAATGTCTGGTGGAACAGATTGTGCGGTTAAGCGAAAAGTAGGTCAACCAAAACAGACTTGGTGCAGAAGTGTTGACTCAGTGGTGAAGGCAGCCGGGACAACGTGGCCCGAGCTGAAGAGGATTGCCCGGAACCGCGTCCGTTGGAGAGGTGTTGTTGCGGCCCTATGATCCCCAATGAATCTAGAGGCATAGTAGCAGTAGTATTACACTGAAGGCAAGAAGAGCAGAAAGAAACAGCGAGTAATGTAGGCGGGGGTTTTGGTCCTCAGCGGCTCCAGCCAAGCTCAACAGGTCTGTGGGGTAAGAGCTAGACGAAAGACACACCCTGGTTCTCCACTCAAAAACTAGCTTTTTACAGAAACTTCAACGACATGACCATAGTAGTATAGCGTATGACGCGTCCTGGCGGAAATCCTCCGGAAAGTCAGCCGGTATGACATGTTCCGAGCTGAAGAGGATTGTCCGGAACTGCATCCGTCGGAGAGGTGTTGCTGCAGCCCTATGTTCCCCAAGGAATCAATAGGCATAAAGAAAAAGAAGAGCATCTTCGAGTTGCCAAGATATTATACTCACACTCCGCAAGCCTGCTTCTAGTGTCACCAGGCAGGCAGGCAGGCCCTTGACTGTAATCCACAAGGGAAGTGAAAAGTGGGTCGACTTAAACGGGCTTCACACAGAAGTGTTGATGCAGAGGTGAAGGCAGCCGGTACGACATATTCCGAGCTGTAGAGGTGAAGAGGTGTTGTTGCGGCCTTATGTTCCCCAAGGAAACAAGCGGCATAAAGAAGAAAAGAAGAAGATTCTGTCTATATTTCTGAGATGAGGTATTATGTACACTATTTGCATTATTCGGACTATTGTCCTCATCTTTGTCGCCATATTTATTACAACGTTGCGGCCGTTGTACGCTCCAGCCTTCTTCAGGTGGTTGGAATGTCGAACTGAACCCTTTATTTCGCTCGCTGGGGTAGACAGTTCTAGTTCCACGTGCCATGTTTAATGGATGTCAGTTATCAGTTATCTCCTGTTAATTTCCCTCTGAAATTTCTCCACTGCCTTAACCGGGTATTGAACTCACATTCTTTGGGTCCTGTCACTGGATCTAACTAACACCTTTATCTGCTGTGCCATGTGTCCTTGAGGCGTTAGTTAGATCCAGTGACAGGACCCAAAGAATGTGAGTCGCCCATCCAGAATCCCACTGCTACTTTCGGCGGTCACGTGAAGCATTTGACTTGTGAAAGGTAACTCCAGGAAAAGGGTAGGAAAAAAAACAGCAGTAACCACTCTTCTTCATTTTTTGGGACCTTCGCAAAGCCTTTGTCAAAGTCCCCCGACCAGTGAAGTGGTCTCCGTTATTTTGGTTGCCGCGATCACTTTGTAGACCTTCCCTCATAGAGAATGCGTTTGCACACAGAATGCACTCTCTGAACCATTTCCCATCTCCGGAGGGCCTGAAACAAGGCTTCGTCCTGGCTCCAACCCTGTCCTCCACCTGATCATGATGCTCAATGAGATCCCGAGCAACTCTCCTGGTGCTGTCATCTGCTTGATATCCAGAACTCGAACATCGAAAAGCAGCATAAAGAGCCCCACAATGTCAACCCTACCTCTTCTTTGGCTGACCTCAATCGCTGTTCGACATTAACAACCGAAAGTTATTAGTTCTAGATAAATCAGCATTGACTCCCTCAAAGCAAGACTACATAAGTATTTCAAACATAGGTATTTCGAATAATTATCATTTAATATAATTGTCCTTTCGATTAATTTTTATTCAAACAATTTACAATTCGAATAAATGTTTTTCTAATAATTCTTTTCGAACAATTTTATCGATATGGATGACGCTGTATATAGTTTTTCTAGAAAAAAAAAGTAAGAAAGAAAGAAGGAGGAAGCGATAATGCTCTCATGAGTTTAACGTCTGCTTCAGTGAAATGGTATTATATTATGATATATGCCAGCCAGAAATGTTTAGTATCAGCTGTCAAAATTAGCAAATATTGTGGAATTCCAACTGACATGTTTAAAGAAAATCTTAGGACATTGGCGATCATGGCTCTAAACAATTTCATGTCCTTTTAGCTCTTAATAAATTTTCTCTTTTTAAAAAGCCTAATTGAAAAATTATCTTAACGCAAAATATGATTGTATGGGTATTTAATGAATCGTTACAATTTGTCTCGGCTTTAGTATGTCAAGTGTCAACTCGTCAGCCGTGGAATTGGATGTGAATTTTCGTAATCTTAAATTATTTGATGAAATGAAATTAATTATTTTCGCGATACATTTTAAAGTCATTTTTTTTTTGCTTTTTATCTCAGTTAATTTTTCACTCCCCGATCGTTGGCTTATGAAGCATATTTTTTATTCTTAATTTTTAGCTCATCTTTTTTCCTCATTTATGGTCGAGTTAATTCGACCGTTAACAACGTGAAATACGTATGAAGAAGTGTTATGCGTATTTGACTAGAATTCGTATCCCTTATTCTGTTTTTTTTTTTTATTTACGAATTTAAACGGTCGTAAGATAATTGATTTCGAAAGATGTGGTAAAAAGCAATAATATAATTTCGAAAAAAACTACGTAAAAATGAATAGGAACAGAGCTTAATTGCAAAGTTCGAATAATTTCAAAATTTTTATTTACGATAAGTCGATTTGTTTTATGTTTCTCGGTTTTAAAATTCAACAGTTGAGTTCCATAGTTTATAGCATATAGTGTTATTTTGAAAGAATAACCCTGGTATTCGGAGATTTTAAAGCAATGCTCATTCCTTCTACGTACTTCTCAGCGAATATTCGTATTTTTACGCTTGTCTGTGAAAAAGAACTAAATCAATCGACTCTTTTGTCATTAGATTTATAGTGTTTCATTTAGATCCTAAATACGTTTTTCTCAATCTTCATGTTCAGATACGAGGCGAGCGATATCGATAAACAGAAATGAACACTATTTACATTGCTCGGACTAGCATCCGCATCTTTGTTGCCATATTTATCACAACCAAAATTTCAATATGAGCACTGGTAAAAAAAAAAGTTGCTGAAGACATTAGAAATTCATACACAGATGTCCTCAAGGACACATGGCACAGTGGATAAAGGCGTTAGTTAGATCCAGTGACAGGACCCAAAGAGTGTGAGTTCAATACTTAGTTAAGGCGATGGAGGACGTAACAGGATTTAACTGACATCCATTAGACATGGCATAGACAGACACACACATATATATATAAAGATATATATACATATATATAAACTAATTCCACATGGCACGTGAAACTAGAACAGTCTGCCCCAGCGTGCGAAATAAAGGGTTCAGTTCGACATTCCAATCACCTGAAGAAGGCCTGAGCGTTCAACTGCCGAGACGTTGTGATAAATATGGCCACAAAAGATGAGGATGATAGTCCGAACAAATATAAAACAGTTTATCTGATGATCGCAAAAGCGTGAAACATATATATATATATATATATATATTAAAACCATATATACCCATTACTTGTGTACTGATTTTAAGGGCTTCATTTCAGTCTTGTGCCAGATGAAATGAAATTCCCTATATACTTTTAATATCTGCAATAAAACGTTAGCAATCAAGTCTCCAAGATGGTGATCAGTCACTCAATTATTTAGTCCCTGTCCCAGACTAAGAGAATTTAATAAATATCACCTGTTATATAAATATAATAAATAAACCGAAATCGTTTTTGAAAATGTAGAAATTTCTTAAAAAATCACAAGAACAATCAAAATAAATTTCATATAAACACGTAGGTTCACCTTGTTGAAATACCGGTTTCCGTACGATCACCGAAGTTAAGCAACGTAGAGCCATGGTCAGTAGATGGATGAGCGTTTGGAAATAGCAGGTACACTAAGCTTGGATGTGCAGGTGGTGTAATGGATAATAGCTCAGAATTGATAATCGAAGAGCCGTTTTCCAATTCCAGATTGGTTCGTTTTATTCACTTGCAAATATCCTTGGCAAACCTATGAAATATTCCTCTTCTCCTTCTATGAGTTTATTAGTTAGACTTATAACACCAAACTCGTATTATGTAAAAAAGATATACTTGCAACCTGAATATATTTTCTGGCTTTAAATAACATGCAAAGGGTTGATAAACCGTAAAAAACGAATTAATCAATCTAAAAACTCGTAGTAAAAATCTGTGCTATTATTCTCACAAAATCTCGTCGAAATATTCTTTTGAATTTGTTGATTTAAACAGCTGAAAAGTCATTGAAAGATTTGATTTGAGATTTTAAATTAATTAAGATGAATGGCAATTGACATAAACACGCGATTGGTTCATTGACATTGCTGAATGAATGAAAGGGTATTCTGGAGAAATTTAGCGGTGAATACACCGGAGACACTAACCTTTGAGAAATTCAGGAATGATGTCTTGCTTGAAGCAAGGCGGAAGATTTTAATCAATGAACTAAGCAGTTGGCAATGGTGACTCGAGCGCACAGTTTGTACACTGGACAAAATAAATAAAATGAATGAAGCGTTAAAAAAACAAACAAAAAACAATAAGCAAACAGAATGACACCCACGCACAGAGTAAGAAGAAAATAATGAAACTGATGATAA